CTCTGCTTGGTGGGAATTTCCACCACTTTAACCTGCACTGTGGATAATCTACACCCAGTTCCTATCCGTTTTTGCCCTGCATTTAGGTCTAATTCCCTTCTAATTCCTTCTAATTTTTCCCTTCTAATTCCTAGGTCTCTTGAGTGCAAAGCCCACATCTTTTTAATATTTGTATCCTTGGCAAGGAGTCTCGCCTGCATGGAATATGTCCCTAATAAAAGTCTGTGTTGAATTGATGCCAATTTCATAGTTTTTTCTTCTTTCGCCTCCTGTGGTGTTTGTAGTAGTTGAGACGTTTGATGTTCTTCTTGTCAAAAGTCTTTTCACTTTGCCTGGAGACTTGATACTGTTATGGTTCCTTGGTAACATCTCTGAGCCTCTGAGGAGAATATAGTTTTGTCTGGGGATATTTCTATTATTTAAACACAGACACCTATTGGAGTGGACCTGTTGTGGATAAAAGGAGGAGGGCAGATGCAGGTCCTGGCTGTTTGAGGCCCTCAGGACAGCAGCAGAGACATCACCTTGGGGCTTGTTGGCAATATAGGGTCTTGGCCTCAGCTGAGGTTCACTGAATCACAATGTGCATTTTAGCAAACCAGCAGGGATTCACAGGTGCATAAATGTGGTGCCTGAGAGGTAGCAGTGCAAGTGTCTCCTTGGAGGGTAACGAGATGATCTTGAAAACAGAAGAATACCTGCCCCTGGGGGAAATACGGGGTTCAGTTTTTGGAGCCTCTGCTCAGAACAGTTGCCATCTGATGAATACACAGCCTTATTTCATGTGTGTTTTTAAGACATCTTATATATACACATGTATATCCCAGTAATTTACCGTATGTTGTATTTCCCTATATTGAAATACCACCTCAGAAATATATAAAATTTCCAGGTTTGGTTACTGTGATCTCCAGTGTCTTTGACTTTCATTCCCACAGCTGTGCTGCCCATGGTACGTCTAGAAACAAAGAAGATATGGTTGTCATTTCATGAACCCACATATTTAGCTCTTTTCCTTCCTTTTCTGTAACATAATTATAGTGCCCTAGATGTTACTTTAGAACGTTCTGAGGTGGCTCCACATAGACCTTTTACTTTTCCTGGATTTGTACATTGTTGATTCAGTACCACTGAACTCAAGGCCCACAGTTCTGCATCTTGAGCCTGAGAGAGACCTACTTGCACAAGTGTTTTATCTGGGAGACACATCACACCCTCTTGAACATGAGTCAACCTCACATGTCTGGGCTTCAGGGCCTTTTGAAACACCGAAA